TTCTTTAATATTGAGAATGATTTTTAGAACTATATCTTTATCTTTTTAGTTATCGTGCTTGGTGTGAACGGGCCTTTAGACTATGATTCCATCCAATCAGAGGATATCAAACGTCTAATATTTGAGCCGATTTTAGAGCACATTTTGTTTCATTTGTCATACGTCTCCTAACAACAAGGCGCATGTTTCTGCGTGACTTTGTTGTGTTCTGAACGACTTGAAAGTCTGGTAGCGTGTGATCCTCAGTCAGGATGCCCAGTTTTTCTCTGTAACTATTTACAAAGTCTGAAAGTGTATGATGCCTAGTGTTTTAAATTCTGTTCAGATTTTAAAAGTCTTGCAGTGGATTCCAGCCTTTACTTGGGTAGTTTCGAAGCTTCATGTAGCAGTGTTTCGAAAGCACCCATCACTAGTGTTCGTCAGGTTTACTCATCAAGAGTCTCACCAGTATTTAGCCATGGACGCTGTGCCTGAGTCCAGATTCTTCTCACTGTGGAGCTGAAGGCAGCTGTCAATAAAAGCTCGACCTACACATATGTCTGTTTTCAACTCAGCCAGTTTGTGCTGCACCACCTGAAAGACAGATAGATGATCAGTTATAGTTCTGATGATAATGAGACTTTATTAGAGCAAACCTGATTTAGTCCTCACTGATTCTACTCATCCATATGTCTAAATGAACAGTGTAATGGAGCTTATTCAATTTCTCTGAGCATCTGTCTCAAACTGCAGGCAGGATGGAGGGATACAATTACAAAGTGAGTGTGTGGCTGTGACCTTACGTGAGGTTAAAAGCACACTAAACAAATGAGGAAACTAATTGTCTGAGGATCTGGCAGAGAAACTTAATACAACTGAAAGGATTTTTTTTAAAGGGGTCATACTATGAAGAATCTAATTTTCTTTTCTTCTTTCATTTTCCATAAAAAAGGAAATAATGCTGTGAAAATTCTATGAAACTAATAATATTATGCAAATTGTTGCTTTATTGAAACCAAGTTCTGAAATTGCTGGGTTTCTGTCATCAAAAACTATAACGATTCACATTTACATGTCAACAAAGCCTATATAGTGTTCAGCTTGGTCCGCCTAGTCACAACAAGGTAACAAAGTGGAAGAAGGACAGATACTAATCTCCAGAAGAACTAAAAATAGTATCATTATTTGGTGAACTTTGACTCATTTTACTCGTAGTAAAATGTGTCAAACTTCACCAAACCTTTTGCTCTGGCTGGTCGTGTGTAGAACCTGCAACTCTGCAGATCCCTCTGAAGTTTATGTGTAGTTTGTTTCCTGCTCATTTCAGCCTAATCTTAATAGCTTTTGCAGCATATTTCAGAGCCTATTGTTTTGTGAACCAGTCAATTAGGCTATTATAAAAGAATGGAACAGGTCAAAACTACATTAGTCTCGAGAGAACAGTGTTGTATCTCACATGTAAAATGGGCTTTTACATAGAAGTCTTAAAAGCACTGCAGCAAAAAGAAAAGAAAAGTGTAAAACTGTAATAAAAACTACATAATGACAGTTCATGGTACAAGTAGTAAGTTTACATTTTAAAATAAAATAATTTAAAAAAAAGTGTAATTATTCAACAATGTATTTGTTAATTATTTGTATTATTTATTTATAACTTCCAGAAATATTTTCTGTAGGCTAACATGAAATGGGACAAACTGTATGATGGAAATACTTTAGAACCAAAGGAAACACTGTTTATTCTCAGCTTAAAATAGAAAAGCTTCACTGTTTATGTTGAAAAAAAAATTATGAAGAGCTGATATAATAGATAAAACAGTATTTAAATGATTATTTAATTACTGATAACAAAAATTTAATGATTATTTAATTATTATTTTTGAACAGACAAGATGTTAAAAAATATAT